ATTTGCGAATATTTGTATTGGTCCAACACTTTATAGCACAACTCCATCAAATACTTCAACTATAAAATCTACATATGAATTTATCTCTATCTGGTATCACTAGGGACTAATAGATCAATGCGTGACTTACGGTCAGCTAGATTGTTCTAACCTAACCAGGGTTTATTCTCAGTTATACATTAATTACGAATGTTTCTATTAAAATCTTATATACATATATATGATTAAATTTATTGACTCAAATAATTTTCCAATTTAAAAAAATCTTTAAAATGTTTATATTTAGAATGCCATAAATACCCGTAAGGTGCCTGGCGGGCTGGCGTTGCTGTTGTTTTCGTGTAAACTTTTGCACTCAAGTAGACACGCAAGCCTAATTTAAATTAAAATTTTTGACACAATCTAATTAAAGAGGCCTACTATGGATTTAGTAGTTAATTTTAGATAGATACATCGACAGCAAAAAAAATAAAAAATAAATTGTAAACTCAACCGAATTTGTACTGCCAATTTTCTTCTACAGTAAGTAGCAGCCAGCCACCGACGACCACGCATCATTTGCTTAATTAGCGGCAACTGACACATGTCAGCAGCAAGCGAAGATATAGACTGAGTCAGCCAGTGACTGAGAATAAGGTGGAGTGGCACCGGAGGAGCTTATAATGTATTAATAAGCTTTATGTAGGGTAAAAAATATCTAAAACATAAGTAACAATTGCTTTTGCTACATTTGAATGAATACATTGTTATACTGCATTTTCTTCTCAACATTGTGTTTCGGGTAGACCTCCCACCTAATAAAACATGAAGTACTAATATGGTGGGAAGAATAGGTCTCTAGTTGCTGTTTGTTGCATTTTATGCTTGCAAAATTGTCTAACCGACCGACCAACTTGACTGACTGAGTCAATGCACAGTGGGCTCAACACTTAAAAAAGTGCTTTACATTAGCTTTGATGTGCTGTTGAATTGCTACTTTGGTGTTTTCTACTTATTGTTTTAATGTTGTTGTGTTTTTAACTTAAATTTGTTTTATTTTTTTGTTATTTTATTTTTGTATTCATTAACGTTTTATTTTTTTTTTGTCTGTTTTTGCTTTCATAAGGCTTATTAGTTGTGCATTAAGTGTGAGTGATGTTGCCACTTGGTTGCATCTTTCATATTCATAAGCCTGTAAGCTTTTGTTATGTTTTTTTTGTTGTTTTTTTTTACATACTGATACAGAAGTGTTGTTAGGTTTTCACACTTTTTGTGGGGTTTTTTTTTCTCAGTTCTATGGGCATTTCTTGGTTTTCTGTAATTGTTACAAAAGATATGCATGTACCTTAGTTAGCCTACTTGAAAATTACATTGCACTGGCATTGAGTTTCTCTCAAGTGCACCCAAAGGATAATTTGCAAAAAACCAAAGATAAGAAGAATACTAAAAAAGTTAGACATTACATAAAAATTGTGTGTCTAATTAGCTAAAAATGACACTGAAGAGTATTCTGAAGGGAAATTGTGTGAGGAGACAATTTGTTAATATGGCAAAGGTTGCAGATTCGTTGAGGTTTTCTAAATAATAAGAATATTTTCAGTTTAAAAAATTTTTAAATGCTTTTAAAATTATAAAATGGAATGCAAGAAAATTATTTGAATAATTTGTAATAAATTGAATTAAGTCTATTAAATTAAATAATATGTAATCAACTAATTAGGGTGTTCAAACTTTAGAAAAAAGAACGCTCATCTTGACTTGGGCTCTATAAACTATACATAATTTTATTGTATCTTTTGTATACCATGAAACGAAAGTCTTATTTATGTATTCTATATAAGATTAGTGTCTTATAATATATATTTCTTAAATAAGAGAGATAGAATTACGTTATAACTAATACCAAAATTGATAAAAGTTTATTTAACCTATAAACAGTTAGGTGAAGTAGTAAGAATTCTAATCACTTAAAAAGGCTAGAAATCTTTTTTGATTCTACATTCCTAATAATTTCAAAAAAAAAATTGGTTGATTTTAAAACTGCAAAGATTGTGGAGTAAAGTGGAGAATTTTGTGTTTAACCTTTAGTTTCTCTGAATCCAGTTTGAAGTTCTAGATAAGGAGTATATAAACTTACTCAACGTTGAGTTAGATAGTGTATTTTCACTAAACCTAGTCGAATCTATTTAATAGAACGTGATAGAAATGTATCTATGATAGAATAAGATACAAATCTATCTATAAAAGAATGTGATATAATGAAATGGATTCGACTAATTCTGTTGACTAGTGTTCAACAGACTAGTTCTAGTGTATTTTCACTAGAACTAGTCGAATCCATTTAATAGAAGGTGATAGAAATGTATCTATGATAGAATAAGATAGAAATCTATCTATAATAGAATATGATATAATAAGATGGATTTGACTAATTCTGTTGACTAGTTACAAAATAATATTGGTACAAAATAATATTTCGATTTTTTACTAGGTCATATTCATAGGTTAATTATTAAACTGTAAGTTGGACTCAAGCATAATTCTAATAATATTCAATAACAACTATTCACCTTTTGAAAAAGAATAAAAGAATATTGCTTAATGAAAAAAATATTAATTACTCAATTTTCAACAATATCAACAATAAAAAACAATTGTTTTTGAATATTAATAATTACTGGATTCTTTTTTTTTTGAATGAAATAATAATTATTTGTCTTATAACGAACTTACAATAATAATTATTGAATAAAATAAAAAAATTATATTGAAATTATTAATTATATTCGTATTCTGAACATAAGATTATATAATAGTGTAAGAACTCCTTAGAGAACTGACGAATAAATTATTAACCCCTTATAGACATTTATTGCTTCATCCAAGTTAAAGATCAATATGATTTAATGGTTTAAAAAAGGAAATATAATAATACAACTCAATTAAAAAAATTATAACTATATTATTTATATATAGTAAATATTATATTTTTAATTTATAACTTAACTTTATTTCTGAATTTGGCACACAATAGCTCGGGATGCAATCATAGCCTATTATTTAATAATTAATTAATTAATTTCTAAATTTAAATAATTTAATTTAGTATGTCTGCTTTTTTTATTTAATTTTTTTATGTTATTTTATTTTTGAATATTATTTTTATTTCTATATTTATAATGAATTTATATTAATATTATTATCGTAATTTAAATTTAATTATTATAGTAATATATTTTAAGTATATTACTCATGCTTTTTTAATAGTTATATTATTAAATATATTAGTACGAAAAATCAATATATCTGATATATTACTTTGTAAGAAATAATGTACAAAAGGATTTAAAATAAAAAAATATCAAATTAAAATTATTTGATTTGGAGTAAAATAAAATAGGCATTGTAGTACATTTTTTACTAAATGTTAATATAAATAAATAATAAAAAAAAATAAAGATAATAATGAAATTATAATAAATATAAAAATATAAAAATGAAATTAGAATAAATAAATAAATGATGATAATAGCAATACGCGCATATAACCATGTTTATCTAATGTCAATATAATTTTTTTAATTATTGATACATCAAAATAATTAATATAATTAATTCTTCAATAGATTCAAATATGTTTTTAGATAGTATTTCTTGTCTAAGACAGTTTTTCTTGAGTTATTACATTGGATTTTGTTTTAATTAATCCAATTCTAATTTTTATTCATTAATTTCTATTTATTTTTTGTATATTAATTATTTTACTATTATTAATTATGTAGATAATATATATAAAAATTATTATCTAATTATATTAATATTTTATTAAAATTGTTATAATGTGTATTAATATACATTTGATAAAAACTGATAATTATAATAGTTACTATTATGAGTGCATATTTTAATTGTTTATTATTATTTTTGTAATAAATTTAGTAATAAAGCCGTGATTGGGTTTTGATATTTTTATTGGCTGTATATTTTAAATTTTTAAAAATTTTTATTTTTCTACCATTGATTCTATTAAACTATCTATTTTTTTTTTTTATTTAATATAATTGTTCTAATTTTTGTCAACAAATTTTTTGAATTATGTTAATGATCATTAAGTAAAGCATTAAATATTTGGCTATATTATTGAATATTATGTACTTATTATTTTTATAACGATATTTACCATAATTTTTGAGATTTTTTTCGCGGCATTTCTTTAAATTATATTTTATTAATATTCTTATTATGAACTATATTATTTAAAATGGTAGAGCACGGTTTGGGTAACCTATATAAAAATATAGTTGGAAAATAATTTTTATTTTATGATTTAATTGTAAGTATTATCATTATTATAATTTATAATATATTAATTTAACTTATTAGTTAATGCCGAAGTTATTTTTGCAGAGTATAACACTATAAACATTTTTTTGTTTATAATCTAATTAAACCACTTATACAATTTAGGTATATAATCCCCAATTTATATATTGTATATTAAATTATATTTCATAATAAATTTTTCAATTATACAATATTTTAAAGTATAAGACCCTTATCTTATAAGACCCTATTTCCTACTAATTTTAGTTAATATACAATTAGTTTAATAAATAATTTTTTTTTATACATGTTTTTTATTAATTTTATGTTTCCATTTATTATATTCTATTCAATATATTATATTTTAAAGTCCCAGCACTTTCTCTCAGAAGGTCCTATCTATAATATATTATAATATTTTATATTAATTTTAGTGAACATAAAATTATTTTTATAAAATATTAGTTTTTTCTTATTTATATTTAATTAATTTTATTTTCCATATATTATATGTCAATCAATATATTATATTTTAAAGTCCCAGAACCTTCTCTCATAACACCACCCCATCAAATAAAGTTAAACAACCCCACATCAAATCCGAACCTCACTCACACGGTTTAGTTTATTTGAGAATAAAAAATAAAATTACACTTAAAAAAATAATTGACACTATTTAGTGAAGACATTACACTTACCACCAAATTGACTGCCGAAGTGTTGCTGGAAGTGACCACGAAATTCATGCGGTGTACTAAAGCCCGGCGGCAAAAAACCGCGTAAGTAAGCTGCAGCGGCTAATGTGGTCATGTGATGATGATGAGCCGCTGCATTAAGCTGCCCTGCATGATCGGCATATCCGGCTGCTGCATAAAAGTTTGCCGGATTAAATACAGGTAACTGGCAATGAGCAGCAGCGGCAGCCGCTGCAGCAGCCGCTGACAAACGTGTCACATCGGGTGAGATTGAACGTGAATCACGTGGTGGTCTGCCGCCATGCGATGAGGCAGGTGACATAGGCGCTGCATTACAATCGGTTGGGGTGGCAGCGGTGGGTGGTGAGGCAGTGCTTAAACGTGAAGAATGCAATTGCTGTTGTTGTTGTTGTTGTTGTTGTTGCTGCTGCTGTTGATTGTGTTGTTGCGATTGCGACGATTGATGTTGCTGCTGTTGTTGTTGTTGATGATGCTGATGATGATGATGTAAAGGCAAAGGTAAGGGTAATTGCTGATGATGGTTTAGTACTTGTGCCTGTTGATAGCTTGCTGCAGCAGCAGCAGAGCCTAAACCAAGAATTTCTTGTATGGCAAAAGGATTGCGCATTTTTGTAGCCTGCATATTTGCCGTCGGTAAAAACGCAATTGCACGAACAAGTGAATTTTATTGGCAACACGAGTTTTTTTAAATAAACTTAATTTAAATATTAATTAAAATTATTTAATGATGAGTGTTTGCAAGTAACATCTTTAAAGTTGTTTAATGTTTATATGTATATAACTAGTATTATTTTTTTAAAAATTAATTTTGCTAATCAAAAAGTTTTTATTTAACAATTTTTTAAGCTTAAGGAAGCGTTTATTTAATTTTTCTTTTCATTTTATAAATATTTCAATATTACAGAATTTCATAAATTGTTTGGTTTCAATTTTTAATTTTTTGTATAATTTTAATTTAAAAAAATTTTATTTTTAAAATTTATGAAATTTTTCTTGATATTTAATTATAGTTATTATATTGCACATTAATTACAAGTATTTTTTTTAAATATTTTATTATTTATATAAGCAGTTTTTGTTGAGATTTAATGCACTTTCCTAATTTCTAAAATTTTTAATGTTAATTAATTAAAAATGAATTTTTTTAGTATTAATTAATTATTTAAGTTTAAATGTCACAATTTCATTTTTGTTTGTTTAATTAATTAATATTGTAAATTACTTATTACATGACTTCGTTTGTTTTTTAAATGTTACTTTTCATAAATTTTAAGTTCATAACTCTATTGTCTTCTGAGACTTTTCTCTCCTTTCCAATTCAGTACTAAGCACACAATTTAATTTTCTTTTCTTTGTTTTTGTATTACTTTGAATTGCACAAATAACACGTTATTTCAGTTTGTAATTCAGTCAACATGCGATGCGTGTATGTATGTGAATTTCATATAACTTGCTTTTGACAAATGCGCCGCCGTGCTGTTAAACGTTCAACGTTGTCGTACCAAATGAAACTGAATTTTCGTCTCTGCAAAATGTCAGCAGAAACTCATTAAATCAAATACATCTTTCTTTCTACTCAGCAAATACAAGTGCGCCATCTTTTCTCCATGCCATTCAGTTGGTATGTGCGAAATAGCAACAATTCTTATATGCCATTTCATTTACACACACACATTAAACGTTTGAACGTTTTCCATTCAAAGGGGCAAATTAATTCCAACTAGCAGTATTCATATCACACAATATCTTTATATCTTGTTGGAAATTTTATTTAACTTACTCCTAAATTTGCTATTTCATTCTAACTACTGTGTTCGTGTATGACTGCATCGCTCTTATGCCTGGAATTTGTATTTGCACACGTATATCATATTCAAATAGATGTGAATTGCTTGTGTGTGAGTTGACTTATTGTTGCTGTAATTACTTTATTTATGTATGAGGCAGTGCCGCTTTGCAGGCTACGCACTTAATTACAAGTAAATTTTTGTGCCTGCCAGTTAAAGTTATGTTATAAGCTTATTCACAACTTGGTAGAATTTTAAAAAGGACTTTTATTCTGATTTATTTCTTTTTCTAGACTTTTTTGTTGTTTATTTCAATTTTTTTTAAATATAATTATGCTAATAATAGTGTTTTTGATATAAGCACATCAATAATTCCCTTTTCAAAATCCTTTAAAGCTTACTTTTAAACGTTATTTTGTGCTCTACACGATTTTTGTTTGTTTTTGTTTTTATATTCGTTTGTTTTTTCTGCTTTTCTCTTGTATTTTTCATTTATTTTGACATCAGCTGCTGCTGCTGCTACTGCTGCTTTTGTTGCTGTGGTAAGAGCATCCATTTTTGGTGCTGATTACTCCCGAATTTGTGCTCCGTCGCTTAACTTATGCCGCTGCCATTGTTTTGTTGTTGCCATCGTCTAGGAAACATGTTAATTAAGAAATTTTCACTCCGCTCCTGCCAATTAGTGTAATGTTGTGTTCATCGATTAGCTTTTGCTTTTGCTCTCATTTTTTTTTGCGCTCGTATTTAATAGTAGAGAAGGAGGAAGAAGACAATGTGACAGGAAATTTAAAAAATTAAATTTATAATGTGTTAATGTTTATTTCAGTCAACGTTTTTTTAATTTATTTATTTATTTATTGGCATGTCGGATTAAAGATGGTAGAATTAATAGGTCGGAAATGATTTAAAGGATTTGATTTTCTTGTTTTTCATATCTTTAGTTATTGGTTCTTATTTATTTTTATAATTTACATAACATATTATTCACTACTTTACTGATTAGCATTATAAGTAAGAAACACTTATATATAATATTAATTATTATTATTATTATTATTTATTATTATTATCATTGATTTAAAAATTCATACCGCACTTACAGAAATTATAGAATTGTATTTAAAATCTAAATTGACTATAACACATTTGTTGTCTATTTATTATATATATTATGTATTTCAATATACATATACACTATATTTATTTTTTATACAAAAATATTGTATTATTTTTATAAAAGTTGTAATTTAACGTCAGTTATGATGAAAGTACCTATTATAAAACTACTATAAAAAAAATAGTCTGGCTTGTGCCAATCGTGGCGTAACATTAGCATGACTTTCCTCGTATTACGTTTCTAGATCAGGTTATATACAGAAGAAAGAATAATATAAAAGCAAGACCGTCTAGACTAGATAAGATCGCGAGCGAATTGAAATCAGTGAACAGGTAGGAGGGCCGCAGAAAAAAATACATACATACGTTAATAATTTTGCCGGAGAAAAATAACCGAAAAATAACAGATAGTACAGATAGAACTGACTAATACTGTATTAAAGGGAATAATACTGTATTTCAGCGGATGGTTTCAAAAATCGGAAGAAATAGCAGTCGTTTTAGATATGGCATTCAATATAATATTTAACATATAATATTCTGACAATTAATGATATAAAACTATATTATACCTACATATTATAATAAACTACTATAATATTATTATATTTATTTTATATATGTATAATATATTAATTGAATCCATATATAGTGAGAATAGTGATAGTGGGATAATAGTGACACAAATTATAACTACAGAAGGGTGCTTCCTATTTCTCATTTCAAGTCGTTTAGTACTTATAGGACTATAGTTATTATAAGTAGTTTTGCTTTGTTTAATGTAAAAGCGTTTTCTGTATTTTAAGATAATCTATCTGTCCTATTGTCAATATAGTTTTCGGGTTTCTTTATGTCAATTTTCATAGGCCAACGTCCGCAATAATAGTGTTAATGCAATGAGTTTATATCCTGGGGCCTAGGTTAGCTTAGGTTATGTCGGCGATCACTAGTGGATCCACTTAAGCAAATTGTGTTACCGTATATATGGGAGAAAAACTCAGGGTTTAAAACCATCTAAAACCTTTGGATAAATATAAAATTATATTTAGTGTCAGGTTGTGTAACTGGTCCAGGTCCTCAAGAAAGGGGATTCCCCAAATGCTAAGTCACCACCGTGCATGAGCTGGACAAAAACACAGTAGATGAGAGACACTCTCATCGTCTTCGCCATAGCTGCGACAGATTTGATTGAAGAGAACACCTAATCTTCTAGCATGGTTCCTTAGTTCACAGTGGCCTGTAAGTAAACCTACCAAAAGACCGACGTCTCTATGGTGTATCTCAATGAGAAATTTAGATTTTATTTTATCGGAAATTGGTCAGATTGCATTTATATGTTTGCATATCGCTGAGTCTTCCCATCTTCTGTTAAAAATTTTTGTATAGAAAGACCTGAGTAATAATTTACAAGATGTAAGCGATATGTCCAGATTATCTAGGTGTTTCGAGTAAGGTCCTGAAGCACCCTTTCTGGCTAGCTCGTCTGACCTGCAATTGCCGAAAATATCCCTGTGGCCGGGTACCCAGATTAGAGAAATATTGTGCTGCGTCGACAATTCGTTTAGAGATGTGTAGCAGTCAAAAACCGTCCTAGATGTAAATTGGACTGAACTTAATGACTTTAAAGCAGCTTGACTGTCTGATAGTATGCATATATTCCTGCCTAATATATCATCTATATTCAAACAAGCTATAGCTTCCCTAATGGCGATCACTTCCGCCTGAAAGACACTAAATGATCTGGAAGCCTAAAGTAGGAAGATTTGTTCAATTTCTCTGAGAAAACTCCATTGCCTACACCACTACTTGTTATGGATCCTGGGGCCTAAGTGAACAGTATATTTTGATAGAGAATTTGATACTGGCATGTACATCTTTAGTTCTTCTATAACAGTTAAATATAATCCTGAACTTATGATTATAAATCAATTTTTTTAGAACATTTAGGGTTTTGTTTCTTATTTTCTTTTTCTAAATCGAATGATAGGCCCCTCTAAATCTGTTAATTGTTATTATTACAACTAAAATGATAAGTGAATATATTCAACTTAATTGAGTCAACAGTTTTATTATAATTTTCCTAAAAAATAATTAAAATTTTAAAATTTCATACCAAATTAAACTAATCACCATCAGCAACATTTTAATTGCTCTTCTGTTCGGTTTTATTTTTTTTCTACATTTTATTCGATTTAATAATTGCAAATATTTTTGTTACAATTTTAATTACCTTTTTATTGTTGTAATTAGTGGCATAGAATAACAATTAACTAATTTAAATTGCAAAAATTAAGTACGCACAAAATTAACTTCTTATTTTTAGTAATCACAAAAATTATAAGCAATTAACCTCTGTGCGTTTGCTATTTTCCAGAATCGTTTTTCATTTAAGAGCATTTTTATTGCAATGTAATTTGTGTGAATTTGTATCTGATTTTGTATTTGTATCTACATATCTATATCTGAGGATGTATTTGTTTGTATCTGAAATTGTGTTTTGTATGAGAAAGCTTCATTTGATTTTAATTAGTTGTGGTGGTGCCAGTTTTAATTGGAATTTTTCAATTGCGGTAAAATTAATTAAAACATTATTTATTTTTGTGTGTGACAGAGTTTAAAGTAAAATAGAAATTATTAAATAAAATTAATTTTAAAAATATTTAAGCTTATATATAAAATTCCATACATATTAAATCAAATTATTTACAAATTAAACAGAATTATTTTCATATTAACTAAAGACTTCGCAGTTGAGTTCTTGCAACTTTAAATTTATTTTATGAAATTTATTTACTC